GGGGGGGGGGGGGGCTAGCGGTCAAAATTTAAAAAGGGGGGGAAGTGAAAAAAAATTGAAATTGAAAAAGCTACCATTACCAATGTTTTACTGTTTATAGAAGCTTTATTATCACTACATATACCGTGTGTCCATACATTCAGACTAGGACCAGTACGCCTCTTCAAAGTCATCAACATTCCAACCGGATATTGTTTCATAACCCCTTTAATTACCGACTTCTTTCTTTTTCAATTCATTCTTGAACAATGGAGTAAAACATACAACAAAGTAATCTTGGTGGTTAAAGTATTTAAGGCTCAAACCGCCTCGTCCACCCTCTTGTAATACTAAACTCTTGTGTCCCAGACTAACAGACTTCTGCATACTAATAATCAAAGAAAAAACAGACTGGATGTGATTGTAATATAGCAACCACTGTCATTTCGGGCACATCCACGAGCATATCTCATGGAGATCAAGGAGGTATTTCCAAACTTTTCCACAACGACATTTCGACACTATTTTTGGTCTATATGTATTCAGAGGAGCAGTATCACATCGGACACCGATACCTTGTTAAAAAAAGACACGAAAAGGACTTTTAAAACGAATTATCCGATTAGCAAACAGCACCTGGTGGATGTCGCTAACGCCTCGTTTGTAACGCGTCTATAAAGAACCTTGACAGGTTCCTAAACTAGGGAGCCTACATGTCTCCCCTCCGGCCACCACGAGAGAAGAGGGGAAGGAGGAACTCCCCTCTTCCCGAGAATCTCGTTTGTGTATCCCAGAGGTCGCTATTGTCCCTTTACAAGATTATAGAAGATTAACCCGTCACTCAAAATTCGTACAAAAGCAGCCGCTTCGGTGGCTGGAACGACTAGGCCATCCTCTCGACGTCAGCCTCGCCGCAGCTTTGCTCGTCCCGAGACGAACTACGTCACGATTGCGTCGAATGTCACGTGGTCTCCGCTGGCTGCTCTCGGAGCGCTTGCCAGAGTGGGCCGTTTATAACGAAAAATACAGCCACCCAGGTGCAAAATACAAACGTACACTTGTCATTTACGGGTATCTTGGATCATATTCAACCTATTTTTGAACACGACGCGTATATTTCAAATTTCGTTGAACTATTCCTTTAAGGGTAGAATGTTTCAATTAGCTTTGGAAATGGTCTTGTTTCTTCTAAGTTCGGTAATTTAGAACTTCGCAGCCATTTAGACGTATTACTCTAAGCCAGGGTGGCCAGGCTGACCTGACCTAAAAGGCGCAAACAAAACCACTAAACTTCCAAGGGTCGCCTAAAAAAAAAGAAAAAAGATAAAAAGCAGAAAAAAGGGGGGTCCCAACTTTTTTTAGACCATTAAATGGAACGAAGTACTTTAGATCTGTCCAAGTCAAAAGCAGTTCAAGTGTTCGTACGTATAGTAGCGGTGGCACAGGACCACACCGTAATCTGTCTCGATTTAAAACTCGTTCCTTTGCTCTTCTTGGAGAAGCGCTCATGTGGCCGGGAGGGAGGCCTGGAAAGGAGGGGGGGTGTTAGGTATACTAGAGGGCGAGCCGCACTTTAACACGCACAGAGCCGCAGCCTGGCCACCCCTGCTCTAAGCTAAGAATAAAAAGTCATACCCCAGAAGCTCGCAAAAAAAAAAAAAATCAGCGATCATATCATTCGATGGCAGAAAAGGTGTCTCGCACTGGCAGATCGGACACGGGCTCCAGAGCAGTTGCTTGCAGCCACTGCCCCTCGAAAACTTTTTGGGGCATCTCAAGAGTCGGCTCCTTGAAACGCCTGTTAGTGGTTAGAAAGGAATGTCTCGAGAGGTTCACCGATATTTCTTTTAAACTTGTCGTTTCGGAGGAAACGTTCCATGTGGAACTACGTACGCTAAAAGACCAAAACTACATAAAAAATGATATGTAGCATGTACGTTACTCGCGTAGCCTTCGGCAACACTTGCTTGCCTTCCAACACACTATTGTCCGTACAACGCGTCGAGGGTGCCCCAGTACAACAGAAAACTCCGTAACCGTCCTTCCGTCAAGTTTAAATTAGAAGAGACCTCAAAGAGACCGCCAGCGTCGACAGCTTTGCTCCCTTCGACAGGGAGGGCGGGATCGATGCAACGCTTACATTTTGTTGCTCTAACACAGTTTTTTACAACAAGCTCACAAACACCAGCTCGTCTAGAGAATGTATAACTTTAAGCTCGTTCACACTCTTGCAACCGAGTAAGACCGAGAGTGACAAGACCGGTTTTTAAGCCTCTTGCGACGTCTTAGGACCAGCTCCGCTGCAGCGCATCCGGTCCTAAGACGTCGCAAGAGGCTTAAAAACCGGTCTGGTCTCTCTCGGTCTTACTCGGTCGCAAGAGTGTGAACGGCGCTTTGTGGCATCCCTGTTTCACCATTGAAGAAAAAAAAACGGTGGGGGTGAGGGGAATATGGCATGACGTCAGAAAGCCAGGGCCCATAGTTTCCTCCGAGTTTTGTTCCACTTTAAGGTCTGAGCCATTCTAAAATAAAACCGACTAGCATTTTTTTTTTTTTAATTTCCGGGGATTAGCATGGGGCCCCCCGGGGCACTGGGCTGCAGCCCCCTCAGCCCGTACCTTAATTCGGCCTTGGGGGAGAGGGAGGCCATGAGCCAAATGCACGGGGACTCGGGGCATATTGCCCAGCACCCCCTGGAAAATGACAGCGGGTGCTCGCGCTTCTGTAAGCTTTTGCTTGCCACTTCGCTTTTTGGATAGCAGCACGTTGGCAAGCGCCTAATCCACTTTTTTTTTAGAGCGCAGCTTTTAGGCGCCCGTTTCCGGCTTGAGCGGCGTCGCCGTCGGCGTAACCGTGAGGTCACGTGACTCCCGTGACTCACGGTTACGCCAACGGCGCTCGGAGGGAGGAGTAGCAGACAGGATGATGAGGAGGGGTATACCCTCCCCCCTCAGTACCCTTCCCTCCTCCTCCTCCTCAAAAACTGCGCTCTAATTCGGTGTTACAGAGAGTTGTAAACGGCTTTGATTTTTCTTTTTTTTTTTAATTACAACCAGACACGAACCTTACAACCGCTCGATTTACGACTGCCAAAATGCGTGTCCCGCTTGGCGCACGTGCATGCATCATTTGTTTCACTTAAAATTGTCTGTTTCGAGAAAGCATTGCACGCAGACTACCCGAGAGCACGGCCCTGCCTGGAGAGAACACATATGGCAATCATTCTCAAGCGCCACTTGCTGCCTGGAACGTCTATGGTGGGAGGAGCCACATACACAGATTTCTGCGCATTATCTCTTGATTGGTTCTGCTGGGTTGAAGGCGTGCACATACGCGCGGACAACACAGTGACGTAGCGTGTTTTTTTTAGATTTGATTGGACTATTGGACTAGCTCATTTTCAGCCTTAGTGTCATTCACGCGCAAAGGAGAATACATAAGATTGTATTCCGTATGATACTGATTGTATGTATTTTATAGTCAGAAATTCCATCGTTAATATTGTTAAAAGATATCGCGCTAACTTAGTACATTTCTAGGCATTCGAAGCCGTGACGTTTTAATAAAGTAGGTTTTTTTTTCTTTTACTGAAACTTCATTTTTGACAAACATCATCATCATCGTCGTCGTCATTATCATCATCATCTCAAATTTCGGGGCCCTGGCCAGCATTAGCCCAGGGCCTCCGGCCCTGTCCCGAGTCGTCGGAGTAAAGTAAAACGCTGCTCAAGAGGAACATACACCTTGACGCACAACAGACCTCCAAAATGATCCACACTGCGTCGATTCTTGATTGGTATTAAAGCCTGCGAAGGCAGGGACTCAGCACTTCGTCATGCAATGGAATGTCCTTTGATGACTCCGCGAGACGTACGTTCGACGAGTTGTGCTTTTTTGCTGCAGTGCTGCACTTTCGTTAAAATGTCCACGTGTTCTCAAAGGCAACTACAACATTTTAAACAAGGTTTTAAAAAAAATTATTCGGCGAATGACGGCTAACGAGCAGGAAACATGTCTTCAGCACACTACCGCCTATCGTCTGCAACGCTCCAAAAGGTCGACTTCCGGTGCATGCAATATGGCCGTGTATGCGGTTCGGCAGTGCGTTTCTTTAGGCTTTAAATTGCCTTTTTTTTTTTTCCTTTTTTTTTACGCGGTGAAAGCTATATTAATTCTGTCTGTACTGTTTAGTTATATGGCCAGGGGTGCAATGTGGAGAATCATCGTCACGAGAAGACGGATAATTCACTTAAATATATTAGTATTTTAAGTAGGGAAAATTTGGTTCCAATTAGAAACTTGTTGTGCGTCATCAAAAAAGTCGCGTTTTTCGCTCACAATGTGCGAAGGAACGAAAGCGATAGCTGTAGCACGGTTGCACAATGCGGGTGGTGTGATGCCGTCACGTATCTGAGGACGAAGGTGAGACGTGGTTAGTTAGCATAGCCGTCGTGGTTGGCATCGTGGATGCCACTGACGACTGCCACCAGTAATCCGTAAAGCGGGTAAGCGCGGTGGAAATCTCTATAACCATCCTTACGCGTAGCAACTCGATACTGGCAAAGTGGAACTTCGCGCAACGCGAGTAATGTTTGAAAACAACTCTTTCAAGCAGACGATACATTGATTCGCCCTTCGTTGCGCAATTCTTGGCGGGACGCCGGGGCTCCCCTCTTCGCTTGACTTCGCCCGCTTCGCGCGGCGTGGACGGAAACGGGGAGTCCTAACTTCCCACTCCTCGCGGGAAAAGAAAAAAAAGTTTCCATATTTCGCGCGCGCGGCGACGACGACAAGCGAAGAGGACGAAATCTCTGCAAAGTGTTGCCCATATAAAACCACTCGAGCAGGAAGTCTGAGAAAGATTTAGAGCACGTGGGAAGCGCGATGGTGCACTAAAGTTAACCACTCGTGCAGCAGGCGCAAGGCTAGCGGTGCGAAAACGCAGACGATAACACCACCGCGCAATTATCGCCCGCGTTTTGGCACTTGGCACAAACTAATAGAATAAATAAAACAAAGACCTTGGAGGTCCAGCAGTTGAAGTGCCCGTTTCGTGGAATCCCGAACATCATCCGATTCAGGCCCGAACAGGTTCTGGTGCTCCATCTTGGCCAGCACGGAGAGAAAGCCCATGTAGTCGACGCTGCTCTTCCCCGTGTCGTTCTCGAGGTCCCGTTGGAGCGCGTCGCATTGTGCCTCCGTGACTGCCAACCCCATGGCCCGGAGGGCCGTCTTGAGTTCTTCGAAACTCAGTTCCAGGTCACAATCCCGGTCGAGCAGGGCGAACACTTGGCGTATTTCTGCGCTTGCTTCCATCGGGGATGTCGCCGACGCCCGATGATGCACGTCAAGATATATGGTCTGTCTGGGCTGCGGAACCTATACGATAGCGGTGCACCAGCTTCGCCTAGATCTCGAAGGACTGGCAACGCCGCGCTTCCCGCGTTCATTGCGCTGCGCATGCTGAAACGATGGCAAATCTGTAGTGTTTAGACACATCACTGTCGCTGTCGAGATAGGGAGTGGAAAGTGCAGTTCATCGGGAGTGGGCGGAAACTGGTCAAGTTTAATTAAAAAGGGGCTTGGTCATAGTGACAAGCATCAACCGGGAACCTTGTTTACACCATAGTTATTATAATGTACGCTAGAGGTTCAACTGGCGCTAGTGTGCTGCTGCAAATTGAAGCAGACAGCAACCAGTCTGAAATTGACTTCCGGTAATGCTTTTTTATGGGAAAACGCGGGTGCATTTTCTCGCTGCGCTCGATTACAAGAGCAAATATCACGAATATTTCGTACGTACTAGGCACATTGAAACATTTTTCGGTCACGCAGACGAAATAATTGGTCAGTTACGGCGTTTTTATTTGAAATTCGTGGCATAAAAAACGGTGCTAAAACCGTTTCGTACATGTATTTGTGTGCACTGTCGGACACTGTTAGCGCGAACACGGCGTCGGCAGGCGTCGGCGCTTTCCGCCATGGGGGATATACGTGTCAAACGAACGAAGGACATGTGGAAAACCAACAGAGACGGCAAAAACTACGCAGTAACACTGGATAAGTAACTCCTCGTGCATACAAGCGATAAAAATATATTGAAAGCCACGTAATATAGTCCGATTTGCAATAAATAAGTACTGCTTCATACTTTCTGCTCGTGATAATGTGCGAAGATGCATCGTTCTGGGTTCAAATCATCAACCGCTCGCTTCAAATCTTTACAAGTAGGGAGAAGTCAGAGAACAGGTGCCCGATAAAAACTGCCTGCCATAGGAAATAATAAAAAGACACACCTTTTGTAGCCCACGTACTTTATTTTTTTACATTCGAATGGTAACCGATCGTAAAGATGCACGACGGAGTCATATTCATAGAGTGACAGGACGGGCATATTAGCAATATATAAGCGCCACCGGAATGCTAGCGAACCTTGAACACACTCTACATTTCTTTCGATCGTTATTTAGCTCAGAAGCGTCGCTCGTTATTACATACCTGCCATAGAACAGAGGTTTGGGCTTGAAATATAGCGAAGCGTAACATCGTTCAATAGTAAAGAAAAATGCTGTAATTAAAGCAATTACACTTTTACAATATTAATAAAGGTACATACTATCCGGTACAACCGAAGTAATAAAAGTTATTTATGTTATTTTCCGGCGAAGAGACAAAATTCACGCGCGTTTTCCCATAGGGATGCACAGGAGCACCGCAAAAGTAGACTGGTTGCTGTCTGCTTCAATTTGCCTCCCGGAAGTCGCATAGACACTAGCGCCAGTTGAACCTCTAGCGTGCATTATAATAACTCTATGGTTTACACGGCCCGCTGTTGCTCAGTCACTACGTTTTCGAGAAGGCGCAAGAGGTCCTTGAATTTGAGCAAGCAGTAAAAGTTGTAATGTATACACCTTAAAAAATCGTGTCATATTTCGATCTTAGTAGGAGCGTCGTAATAGCCAATTAAAATTTCGACGAAGACCCGCCCGTTGCGGCGCGCTGACGGAGAGAAAAACTAGCAAAAGTGACGTCATCAGTGGGGTCAGATGACCCTTGCTCGCCACTAAGCTGGCTCGGGGAGTTTTCGTAGATTGTTTTCGCTAGAGTTCCTGTATATGCTCCCCCGAAGGGGGAGCAGAGTTGCGCATTTGTTTTCCCCGCGCCGCCACGCCGTTATTCGCCGAGATCCATCACGTGAGGAGCAAAGCATCCACGCCGTGCGAGAAAGCCACCTTTACGGTCGCCCCGCCGACGTTTCTCGCGCCCCGGCGTATGTTCCCCTGCTTTTCGCCTCCTTTTCCTCCTCTCCTGTTTTCTGTGCGCGGCGGCGCGCGCGGCGCCGCTATTCGCCAAATTTAGTCACGTGAGGAGCAAAACATCCATGGCGTGCGGGAAAGCCGGCGCTACGGCCACCCGCCGAGGCTGAATGCGCAACTCTGCTACCGTAGGTAGCATATACAGGAACTCTAGTTTTCGCCGTCCCGCAACGCCCTCCGCAAACCGTTACGATAACCGGAACTCTACAGTCAAGGCCATCGGCGCGCAGGCGCAGTAGCGGCTTCTTCGTTGCGGACGGCTTAGCGGTGGGGGAAACGCGGTCTACGAAAACTCCCTGATGACGCCACGACACTCTGGACAGATAACAGTCGCCAGAGAGGATCGCCACATGCCCGGGAGATCGATGGCCGAGTGGGCCCAAAGCTGTCAAGTGGGCCGCGTCTCAGCTCGGAGCGTGGAGCGAAAGCTTGCGCTGCACAACCTCCAGGGTTCGGTCCCCACCTCCTGCCCGTTTCGATCTGGATGAGTTTCGTATGGCACGCGTTCGTGTAATCACTACTGCGCGGTGCACGTTAAAAAATTACTTCAACGAAATTTGAAAAAAAAAAAAAAAAAAAATGACCGCATCTTTACGTGGTGAATGATGTTGATTGGGGCGAAGCTCTGGTGGTGCTGATGATACTGATTTTATTGTTCATAGGTAGTGCTGATGGTGCTGATTTTTCTTTTATTGCTCATAGGTAGTGCTGAGTTCCGGGTTGCGTTTCGACTTCATTATTACTGCTTTATGGTCGGTGAAATGCAGTGCCAGTGGTTCTTCTAGCGGATTAGCTTGGGTCCGCTAGAAGCTGTGGAAACGCATCTCCACCGCTTAAAGGGGCCCTGCAATCATATTTAAGCGCCTACCTTTTTTGCGGTTTCCACGTCTCTTGGAGTTCGGGCAAGCCAACGGGCACGGAGAGAGTATCTAAATATCAGTGCGTCATATTTTAACCGGACGACGCGGAAACCTCCTCCACCGACGAGGGCGACCCGCGGTACCGAAAGCGCGCAAAATGTGACGTCTTTGGTCCTGGGCTTACTACTGGTCAGAGCCGCTAAAAGCTTCTTTTTAGTCGAAATACAAAATATAAGTGTCGCGAACCGTTTCAATTACTTAGAAAAGTAGTTTTTGTTCACTATTTTAGATGAGAAAAGAAACAAATGCAGTTTATAAAGTACGAAAACAAGAAATGACTCGTCGACATACCCGCCACCAAGCGGTGGAAAAGGCGGCGCATACTAGAAAGAAATAGTGGGATCAGGCGCCGACACGGAAAGGTCCCGGATGTACGCAGCAGCGCTGCGGTCGTATGGGAAGGAGGATCCGACCGGCTCCGAGCCTTCTGAAGGCCGTCGGCGAGATGCTTTGTCTTGCGGTTTGGCCGTTTCGCAGCGCGAAGTGGCTCCCACTCTGAACTGATCTTTACCCCGTGTTTGCTGTCGTTTGTGGCCAATGAAGTGTCATGCCGAATTAGTGTTTAATCACGCAGCAAAGGCAATGAGGGCCGCTCTGGCTACCCGCTGCATGCAGCCTGTCCAGAACATGCTTTAGTGGCGCCCTCTCGCGCCGTCGACACGGAATGCGGCAGCTGTGAATGCTCGCGATGAGCTCACTACCCCTCCTCTAGTTCACGGCCGCTCGAGCAACCAAGGACGTCATGAGGGAGGTTATTTTTTGCTTGTTTTTGTAATTTTGATTTGCCTATAACTTTTAAAATAAAGCGAATTTCAAGAAAATAAAAGTTACACTAAGTTACTACGTTCAGTGCGCTCAGGTTTGGTGCAAATTAAAAATTAGTAAAAAAATGTAAGCCGTTTACAATTCCCTGTAACGCCGGTTGGAGCGCAGCTCTTGAGGAGGGGGATGGAAGCGTACTGAGGGACAGGGGACTACTTAAGGTCACGTGACCTCATGGGAGGTCGGGTGACGTCAAGTGGGTCACGTGACCTCAGAGAGTCACGTGACCTCAGAGGGTCACGTGACCTCAGGAGAATCACGTGACCTCAGGCGGCCACGTTACCTCAGGGGGTTCACTTGACTCAAGGGGGGGTCACGTGACCTCAGGCGGTCACGTGACCTCGTGGGGTCACGTGACCACGGGGGGTCACGTGACCTTGACGATGACGATTTGATGACGTCATCAGTGATGATGACGATGCGGATGCCAATGACGTCATCAGTGATGATGACGATGCGGATGCCAATGACGTCATCAGTGACGTCACTGATGACGTCATCAGTGATGATGACGATGACGATGCGGATAACGTCATCAGGTTGCATATGTAACGTGATGGCCAAGAAGCGACAGCGTTCGATCTTAGGCTACCATTTTTTTATCTGTTCGCATTTCTGTGGCGCGCACTCCCAGAGCGCGCTTCTTCTCCTTCGCCGTGGCGGTACTAGCGATCATCACACCATCCCCCTTCACGAGGAAGTTGCCGTCCCGGCACTAGGCTTCTCATGCTAGAAGCACTCAATCGCGATACCGCGCGGGTCGACTCAATGTTTCTCGTGGCCGAAGGAGGTATCGCTCTGCTGGCTTTGCCTGCTGTGGCACGTCTACAGGCAAGTCCGTTGAAGTGACGTCATCAGGGGGCAAAAGAACAACTGGATGTTGATCGTCGTCCAGGAGTTCGGCACCGTTCGCTGGTGGCGTATTGTGCTGGCCTCCGTCAGTGCCTTGGTCCCCGTTTTCTTCTACTTGGTCTGCAACGTGAAGCTCGTTGTCGAGGATGTCTAACAGCGGTGGGTTCTCATGAGCGTCGGCCAGGTTCGGATCCTCAGCTGCTTGTACCGGCGGTAGACTTTCGACCGCATCGACGTACAGATCATCGCCTTCAATGTCTATTATGTCTGGGTAGTCTGGGACTGCTGGGCGTGTAGGAGTCGGGTCGTTATCTTTGTTTTCTGTGACGTGTGATAACGTCCTGGCAGGCAACAAGACTGGCTCCTTCCCATCGGCTACCCGCTTCAAACGGTTGTGGTGTACAACCCGCCGCTTTCTTTTTCCAGTTTCTTCCTGGATTCTGTACACGTTGTTAGGAAGCTTCTTGAGGACTACATAAGGACCCAACCATGGCAAATATAACTTCGAGGACTGTCCTCGCGGCACAGCGGGAGAATGTAGAAGAACTCTGTCGCCAGGTTCGTAGTCTTCTTCCCTGGCCGTGCTCTCGTAGTGGCGCTTCTGCGCATCCTTTGCTTTCATGTCGTTTACAATTGCGTGGTCGCGAGCCCTTTGTAATGTTGTCAGTAGGCGCGATGCGTGTTGCTCATAACTGGACGTCGACGCC